GTATAGACAATGTAAAAGCTTGAAATATACTTATAATGGTTGGATGCATGTATATACCTTGTTCTTTAGTAGAAACTCTACTAGAATTTTTACTTGTAGTTCATTCCATAGCTCCTTCAAAACTCTTATTTTTATTCTCTATTAAACTAAAATTAAAATAAACAAACTCTAACATCTTCTACCTTAAGCTTTCACATTGGATTCAATACTTATATCATATTACATGTGTTTTTGCTTGAGTATGCACTGGGCACCTAATTGGAGAATGTAAATAGAAATGTAACAAAAATCCTACCAAGTCTAATAGAGTCTTAAATAAACTTTAAATAACGTCAATAATCTTAATCAAATTTTAATTAGTCTAATATAAATTTGAAAGAAATTACAAAATAAACTCAAAAAACTTAAATTAATCTAAAAATATTAATAAATAAAATTGTAAAGAAATATAAAAATAAAATATTAAAAAAAAAATCATTTTTTAAAACACTAAAAATAGAAAATTTTAAAGAAATAAAAAACATATAAAAATACTTAAAAAAAAATCTAAATAAATTTTAATTAAATTCTAAATAAATTTTAATTAAATTTTAATTAAATTTTAATTAAATTTTAATTGTATCCTAAATGAAATTCTAATAAATCTTAATTATATCCTAAATTAAATTTGATTAAATTTTAATTAAAATCATAATTAAAATCCTAATAAATTTTAACCAAGTCTTAAATCAAATCCTAATGAAATCTTAATAGAATCCTAAATCTCAACTTTAGACCAAATCCTAATGAAATCCTAAATCCTAAAGAAATCCAAATTGAATCTCAAGAAACTTCCAAATAAATCTTAATCAATTATTATAGCTATTTGAAACTTCAATAAATACTAATTGAATTTTTGATCTTGACTCAAATTTTATACAAACTTCAATTAACAAGAAATTATCAAGTACACAAAATTTTAAAAAAATCAAACTTATTAATAGTAAGAAAAGCTTCAAAAATCTCTTAGTTATTGGCTGCTCTTCTTCTCTGACTTGAATGTTAATCTTTTGACAAGATTTTTCTTTGTTGAATTATTCAATTACTTTCAAAATTAGATTATTTATAGGTATTTAAGTCTAAATTGATCTTACTAATTTTTGCTACAATCAAACCAACAAATATTCATAGATTGTGAAATCCCTTTTTGTTCTTAAGTTTTAGTTATTTAAGATCATAAGCTACAAAAACTTTCACACTCTTCAATCTAACTGCTTGATTGTCTTCTAATTTCTTATATTCATTTACAACAAGTAAAATAAAAAATTAATTTTCTTTACTTATAAATATGCTATAAAATTTACAAATTCTTGAAACTTATAAACTTATTTTTATTATTCAAAATCTAAATCGAGCAAGTACATCACTAACTTTGAAAATCCAATAAAACCTCAATATTAATCCAAATGACATGAAATTACCTTTTAAAAATTTCTTCATAAGTTTAATCCTTATCTATCTCTTTAATAGAGAAAAGAACCTTGGAGTTGTTATAGATGCAAGGTTTTATGCTTTAGAATCTAATTTCAATCCAAGTTCACAACTAGTTCTTTTCATATATCAATTTTTGATAATTTGAAGTAATTTTTGCTGAAACCTATTGTTAATTCTCTCTTTAAGATGCCTATATTATTTACTTATCTCATTTACTTTGATTTGAGGCATTTATGCTCTTACAAAGTAAATAGAATTTTATCCTATAAAAAATAGTATTAAGATTAAAATTTTTACTACCTTTCTATCATTTATTCTTGATTCTTTATTATATTTTTTTTATTAGGCTCTTCTATATTAATATCCATAATTTTATTTTTTTATCATATAGCTATGTTACCAAAGGACATTAATAGATGTAATTGATAAGCAATCAAATTGACTTATTCACATATAAAAAAAGTCTAAGTCTACAATAATTGAACATATCACAAGAACAAATAGTCTTGATAATATGAAAAAATAATCATATCTTATCACCAACATAGAATTGATATTATTTCTTGCAATAGGCATTAATAATGATATTTTTTTAATTCTAGAGTTTTTTTAAAATACGCCTTTATTATTGTTTGTAGCTTGGATAAATGATTTGTCAAATCTTCTCATTTAGAATATCAAAGAGTTGAACCTCAAAGAACTAATAGGTCAATATATACTTATGTCACTAAAAAAGACAAAAAAATCACTCAAAGATGATATAATATTAAACTAAAATGACTATTGCCAAAGACAAAAAAACTAAAAAGACTTGAAATAAGACTAAGAACTAAAAACGCATTGATAGGAGTGAAGAATGCTTCACTCTTGCGTCCATATATACTCTTAAGTAGGAACTATGTGATGATGTCTTATAGGACCTTTAAAACATGTTGACTTTGCAAGACACATAACTTAACTTATAAGGCAAGTTTTTTGTCTGTGTGCTATATAGTTAACTTATTCCACAAGCTATCAATATGTGGTTAATTTGTTGACCAAGTTTCTAACTATAAATTCATATAAAATCAACTATAAATACATGTAAAATCAAAGCACCATCTATAAAGCTTTTAATTTTTTTTTTAAAAATATTAAAAAATAAATATATTTTTTCTTACTTCTATTTAATCATATAGATAAGTATTAAAATAAATATGTATGTCCGTGATATTATCCTCTCTTCTAAAGATAAGTTGTATAAAGAGCAGTCATTATATATTGAAATAAATCTAAAATACAAAAAATTAAATTTGTTACATACTTTGATCATTATTTTCTTTGAAGATGGTTGATAGGTTCTTTTAGCTATGAATAGTGTTCCATATTAGGGCAAAAATACCACTATGTTATTTGATTGTTGTTGAGGCTTCTATATCTTGCTTCAAATAAAACATTTGAAACACCGTCAAGAGGTATTTTTATCTTTAATAAAATCACCAAACATTACAAGTCTCTTCTAAGGTTGTAATATCAAACATATTGTATTTCTCCATCTATTTGAAGAAAGATATGTTCTTGAGGATCTTCATCTTGATTACGTCATCTTAAAGATTATGACAATTGTAATATTTCATCTGAAAAATCAATAAGTAATATCTCTTGAGTTGAATATGCTAGTTGTTGGTTTTTCATCTTTTTAATTCCATAAATATATAAAAACTACAAAGAAAGATAGAAATTAGAATGCTATCTTCCTTAGATCTTATTTCTTATATAACAAAGATTTATTATTATTTATCTTGGTTTTGATGGATGTCATCAATAAAAAGCTTCAATCTTCTTTAATATATTTATAAGATTCTTTCTTAATTCTCATATACTTTTACAAATATCATATATATTCCAATGAATAAGATATTCTAATTTATTTTGCTATTACCTTAAATTTATGACTTCTTCAACTTTAAACTTTTGATCATTATTGACTTCTATAGAAGGAGATTGGATTTGTTTTCTTTTTGAGATATTCACTATCTTATATGACTAGTCTTAATATTGTGAAAAAGTAGCCATATTTTGTCACCTATGTTAAATTATGGTTGTTCTTTACAATAAGCATATACATTGATTTTTTGTTGTGCTTGAACTTCTTTTAATTGTGCCTTCATTTTAGAGAAGCTTCATAGACGTTGCTTTGTCTTTATATGTGTTTGTAGTTGATTGGTAGATTAGAAACTTTGACAATAAGTTAATCACATATTGATAAGTTACAAAACAAACTAATTATGTGGCGCACATATAAAAAACTTGCCTTGCAAGTTAAGATGTGTATCTTGCAAAGTCAACAAGTTTTAAAGGTCTTATAAGACATTGCTACATAGTTCTTAATTAAGAATATATATATATAGAGGCAAGAGTGAAACATTCTTCAATCTTGTCAATGTCTTTCTAATCTTTAGTCTTGTTTCAAGACTATCTAGTTTTCTTGTCTTTGGCAATAGTCATTCTAATTTAATACTATATCATCTTTGAGTGATTTTCTAGTCTTTTCAAGTGACATAAGGATGTATTAACATTTTAGTTCTTTGAGGTTCATATTCTTGATACTTCTTTCTCTTTACTTTCCTTACAAGAATACAAGAGAGAAAAAAATTAAGAAGAATAGGAGAAAAAGAATAAGAACTAAGAAAAATAAGAATCACCTTTCTCCCTTCCTTCCTTTTCTTTCTTTTTTTTACTTCTTTTTGTTCCGTCAAAAGAATACAAGAGAAAGAAGAATTATGAAGATGAAAAGGAGATTAAAAATTAGAAAGAATAAGAAGCCCTTCTCTATTTCTTTACTTAGCTTCTCCCTCTCTTTACCTCCCTTTACTTTCCTTCACTCATAAGAGTGCAATAGAGAGTAGAATTAAGAAGAAGAGGAGGAGAAGAGTAAGAATTAGGAAGAATAAGAAGCTCCTCTCTCACTTCCTTCGCTTCCCTTGCGAGAGTGAGTGCCCATGTTGCATGGGAACGCAACACCGTCGGTGTGTCAGTCACTCCATACCGGATGCCGCAGCGGGGTGTATGTATGTCTATATTATGTATGTATGGCCTCTGCTGTGAGTGTCTGTGATGGGAGACACCTAGTCGCTGACCACCTGGCATGCGCACTTGGCAGTTGCTTTCAGGACTAGGGGAGGAGTGGACGCAGTAAAATCTGGAGAATGACCGGGAGACTGACTGGCTGACTGGCTGATTTCTTAGTCCGGTGAAGAAGCAAGCAAGCAAGCCCTGGCTGGCTGGCGGGCCTGGTTGGGTGCAAGGTTTGTCTGCCTTCCTTCCTTCATTCCTTGCTTCGGGAGGTGTTCCTCTCCCTCATCCTGCCGATGTCAAGACCACCCCCCCGAGAGAGAGAGAGTGAGTGCATCATCCGCCATTGCCATCCCTCATTCCTCCCTCCCTCCCTCCCTCCCATGTCACTTGGACTCTCCTCCCTCCTCTCGTACCTCGACTTCACCTCCGATCGATCGTTTCCTCACCTCAGGTATCAGAAAAATTATTTCATAGAAATACATATTTGGAGATTTGTCTGTGAAGTTTTGGTCATGAACTGGCTTAGCATTCAGCCTCATTGCTGTATCTTTGGCAATTGTGCGGGAAGCTGGCCGTGGTGTTGGTGTGTGTGTGAGTGAGAGAAAGAGAGAGAGATAGTGTGTGTGGTGTCTGAGAACTCATCTATGAGCGTCACTTCGAAGGAGTGTAGCCTGGAGTTTTAGGGTGTAGCAGTGCGGGGGGTGGGAAGAGAAGATTGCGAGAAGTGAACAAGTAGAGGCAGGGTTGGGAGTTGAAGTGGTGCTTTCCATGGTTTGAGCTGTTAGTATCTCAGATGGTTCATTTTTTATCTGATTTTCTTTTTAACCCTGCAGCTACTCTTTTCAATTCGACGGGTTCTCATTCATGATGGAATTAATCATTTGGATACTGAAAATGAATTCGCACGCGTTCTGACAACATTAGGGTTTACTCGAGGGAGGAGGACCGAGTCGTCGTTGCTGAATCCAGATTACCTTTATTTAAAGAAGGACAGTGTGCCACGCAAATGAGAATGTGAAGCCCATGGGTGCTGTTCTGAGCTAACGATGGTGTGTCAATTTGGAACGGGGCGGTTTGTGCGAGGATACAAGAGTTCTCGTCCTGTGCATATTGTGGTTCATAGCTTGTTAAAGCCTTGCTGTCAGGATTTGGCATTGCTTTAGGAATCGGCAGCGGGAAACATGGTGGAGATGGCTGGGAAAAACTTGAGAGCGCGAAAGGGTTAGGTTTCGAGTAATAGGAAATGTGATAAATCTTTGAAGGGGTTGAAGGGCACTGTTTGGAAGGTAACGCTGGCGCGTACAGGCGACACCTGATGGCGGATCCGCCTCAGCCGCATACAAAATTTGGGGCTGTTTACGTGGAATTGAAAAGACAAGGCAGAAAAATCGTAGAATCCGTCTCGACCGTGGTTAGGGAGAGAGGAGGAGGAAAAAGCGGGAAACATGCTGAGTGTGGTGCGGGTGCACCTCCCGACCGACATACCGATCGTAGGGTGCGAGTTGTCGGCCTATGTGTTCCTGCGTAGGGGTGACTCGAGTCTTTCTCCTGAAGATGTCACGGAGGCGTCGTCAACCGACGGCTATTTTCTCCAGTGCCGATGGTACTGTACTCACACCTGCACCATTCTGTTTAAAGGATTTTTTCCCGTCTCTCAAGAACATTAACGGTCAATCTCTAGCACGAAATGGATAGCATCCAGATTGTTCAGAAGATTACGTTTTTTTTTTTTTTTTTTTTTGACTGTGTCGGAAATGCTCATTGTATGGTTGATACGAGACAGTGTCAATGTAGTGTTACTGTAGGCTATGTTATTACAATTCACATTTTTGCTTGATGATGCTTTCCTATGGAATCGATAGTGATCTCTATGTCTTTAGAGGTGAGTGACGGGTCACCAGTCAAGTGAAGAAAGCGCAGCGCTGCTTCTTGTGCGGTGAACGAAGGTTTGTGGTTTGAGTTGGACGATTAATCCTGTACCTCTCAGTATCGAGGTCGTCACGACTTACTTTGGATATGATCTAGGGATACAAGTTAACTTCAGGCACTGTACAATTGTTTACGTCTAGCTGTGCAGTCACTGGTATTTTGTAATCAATGGAATCTTAAGCGCCAGTCAGGAAGACTACAGTTTAATTTTTTCCCACCTTTGTGTTGAACAAACAGGTTTCGATTGCAGAGTGAGCAGAAAGTTTTAGTCTGCTGTATTCATCCATCTGAGCCTGCTACACTGCAATGTGTGCAGTGCTTAAAAGCAAAACTTCCCCAGTCAAAGAGTTTGCATTGCACGCAAAAGTGTTTCACGGATTCATGGCGACACCATGTCATTATGCACCAGGAGACCGCTGAAAAGCGAGAAAATAACCTTGAAGAGGATGATTCCCCGTTCTTGTTCAACTCGAATCCGGCGAAGTCGCTGCGATCTCTCGATGGGAGTCTTTCTGGTGCTGCGACACACAGTGCCAATCTCAGTAATGGATCCATTTTCTCTAGCCCTGTTCGGATGGCATCCCACAACCAGAATCAAGAAGCTGGTGATGTATGGTGTGAAGTTGGGCAGGGGAAGACCTACACCCCCACTACGGAGGACATAGGTCACGTACTGAAGATAGAATGCGTGGTTATTGATGGAAGTACCGGGCGGCCAGCGGCTGCTCCATATCAGAGGTTAACGTCTCGTGTAATACCTGCACCATCGCCCACCCCGCGGCGGTTGATACCCGTAAATGCGGTGGAGGGAACTACTCCTGTAGAGACTGATGGGCGAACGTCGAGTTCAGGGACCTTCACTGTGTTGTCGTATAACGTTCTGTCAGACTTGTACGCCACCAGTGATATGTACAGCTACTGCCCCCCGTGGGCATTGGCATGGACATACAGGAAACAGAATCTACTTCGGGAGATTGTAGCATACCATGCAGATATTCTTTGTCTTCAGGAGGTATTCCTTGATCTTGCTGGGATACAGCACCCTTATCTTGCCATGTTAGATTTCACCTAAGGTTTTACAATCTCTGCCTGAGTCAGACTGTCCTCGAGTCATGCTTCATCTGACCAAGTAGTGTACTTCAGTATCATATTTGTTGAGCTTTCAGATGTTTTTTGAGTGATGGAGTGAAGTAAATGGATTGTTTGGGTTGACTCTTTAGGTTCAAAGTGATCATTATGAAGAGTTTTTCGCGCCAGAATTAGAAAAGCATGGATACACGGGTGTGTATAAGAAGAAGACTGGTGAGGTGAGAGTTCTCTTGTTTTTCTACCTTGGGTTTCTCTTTTTTTCGTTAATCAATGCTTGCCTATCTTATCGTATGAGATGAGCATGTTACTGCTTATAAGCAAGCAGGGGCTTACTCTGGATATGGAGTTGCAGGAAGAGTATCACTGTAGACTGACCGGTTTTTATTGATGCCGCCAGGTGTATACAGGGTCTGTTTATGTTATTGATGGTTGTGCAACATTCTTTCGAAGGGATCGCTTTTCCTTGGTGAAGAAATATGAGGTAGGGCGTTGATGCTTTTGGTGTGAATTACATTTAACTGATCTGACTGACTGGCTGAAGTAGTTGTATGGGGTTTTAGGATGTAATATCAACAACAGTCAGCACTGCGGTGGTCCTCATATGTGGCATTATCTTCTTAACGTGTGTTTTCAACATCTTGACCCTGTAAAAGTCGTTGAACTTTATGACTTGTTCGTTACATATATATATATATATATATATATATATATATATATACCCAAACATTGTCATCAGCTAGAGTGCTCGTGTAATCAACTCGTTTTATACTGTTGGTTTTTTCGATCACCTATGTAACTCCATCTAATTCTCTGTTATGTCACTTTTGTGAAGTTTCTTAGCACGTCGGTTTAGGATTACCATGTTGTCTTTGAAGTACTGTAATGATTGTCTTAACTTAATGCAAATATGGCTCTCATTGTCAATTGTGCAGGTTGAGTTTAACAAAGCTGCACAATCTTTGTCGGAGGCTTTGGTACCAACAACAAAGAAAGTGGCTTTAAGTCGGCTTTTGAAGGTTAGTCTATGGTTTGGACGTGCTTTTGAATGAATACTATCATTTGTGATGGTGGCTAGTATCCTAATGTTTGTCCCTGCAAACCCTCAACTATAGGTCTATGAATGGCCTTCTTAAAATACAGGCTTTTCTACTAATTTTCAGGTGCATTCGGGTAAAACTGTTTGGTAGAATTCAGACAATCGATGCGAACACGATGTAATTTGTTTAAAGCAGGGTTTAGCATAGTTCATCCAATGAGATGTCTGGCGAGTGATATTTTGCCCTTCCCTCAACAGGATAATGTAGCTTTGATCGTGGTACTGGAAGCGCGTGATACTGGAGGATTCACGGATTCTCAAGGAACTCCTGGCAAGCGTGGCCAGCTTCTTTGTGTGGTAAGTATCTTTTCTCGATCAGCATTAGTACCTTCAGCTTGTAATGGTAAGGGCATCGTCGGTTAGGATTCTGTTGCCAGGTCGAGACGTAATGAAAATGATGAGGCACTTTTTATAAAGCATATTGAGTATATTCCTGAGAGTGTTGGTATCTGTCGCTTTTTCATTGGCGCTTGTTGACTTGATCTGTGCGCAGGCAAACACACATATTCATGCAAATCAGGAACTCAAGGACGTGAAGCTCTGGCAGGTGTGCATATCCCACCTTTGTTTTTTTGTTTTTTGTTTTTTTTGTTTTTTTTATAGATGTAATCACTTGCGAAAGCACAATCTCTGAAACAGTGAAGTTCTTGGACGTAGAGATGTTGCATTTGTACGCATATTCTTACTTGAGGTAGAGAGTTTTTGCTAGAGTCTTGACAAAGTTGTGTTTAGGTGCACACTTTGCTTAAAGGACTTGAGAAGATAGCAGCCAGCGCAGACATCCCCATGTTGGTTGCCGGTGATTTCAACTCTATTCCTGGAAGGTTGGTGTTTCGATTGTTGTTACATTTTGAAAGATTGTGATTGCATTGTTTGCGCGTGCATGACCATTGTGGTTCTGACTCTTGATTTACTGGAATGTTTTTGCAGTGCACCTCACTGTCTGTTGTCGACAGGCCGTGTGGATCCTACTCATCCAGACCTGCAAGTTGATCCTCTGAACATATTGCGACCTGCAAGCAAACTGTGCCACTCCCTGTCACTGGTAAATATCATCGTTGGCAATTGACAATGTTTTTACTCTCGCGGCCTCTAGGATGTGTATTTCCCTCTTTCACACTGCACATTTTTGATGTGATGCTTAAATGCTATGGTGAAGTTATACGGTATTGTGGATTTTTGCAGGTGAGTGCTTATGCATCATTTGGAAGGATGAATGGGCTTGGTCCTACGGTGGAGAAACGGATGCGTCAAATGGATCCAACCACTAGTGAACCACAATTTACGAACTGTACCCGAGATTTTCTTGGCACCCTGGATTACATCTTCTACACCGGTGAGACAATCTTGTTCTTTCTGACATGCGTGGTAGGAAGTGTCGTTGCATTCAAGCTAGCAATCACGAACATCTGCACTAACCCAGTGATTTCAGTAGGCGTGATTGCAACCTGTTAAATGCGTGGATCGTAGTGTTTGTATTGACGAAAAATGCAACGATTCGTTCAATAGTCTATTCTACTGAGTCCATGACTTCAAGGTGAATTATTTTGCTGTATTTTTCTGACACTTAGAGTGTGACGTTGGACAGCGGACTCGCTCACTGTGGAGTCACTTCTGGAACTGCTGGACGAAGACAGTTTACGCAAGGACACGGCGTTACCCTCTCCAGAATGGTCATCAGACCATATCGCCTTATTGGCTGAGTTCCGCTGCAAGCCTCGCATTCGTCGTTAGATCGGGCTCTGCAAGATTTGTCCAAGTCTTTTGAACTCTTCGCAGTATACGCAATCCTAGGAATTTCCGCAGTGAGCAAGCTGCCGTCTGTCTCACAGTTTCTTTTCCGTTTGGGTTATTCGATGTGGCAGAGAAAAGTAGAGAGGCTCCGATTGAGTATCTATAACTTAATTGTTCGCTTTGACGAGAATCACGTGGTTCGAATTATACCAAACACGAAGAAACATTTGTTTTTACCCTCATTGAATAGTCAGCATTTCTTCGAACGTGTAACTGAGGCCAGGGTTGAATTTGGAGTTCTCTGAAGTGGCTGTCAGCAGGTCATTGGCCATATTTCAGCAACTTCCAATAGGAGAAAGCGGTTCAAAGTATATTGCCATTGCAGATGTACATTTTGATTGCAAACTGGGTGTTCGTCGTTGAACGTAACCTACTTGCTTATGTGAGCGGAATAACAGAGCTCAATTGTGTCCCCCTTTTTTTAATGTATGTGCGGATAATGGTTTTTCCCATCAGTTCAAACTATCGTATCTTTTGGTCTCTTGCTGTGCCCAGCTGTCATCCGATACTGGACTCAAGTTTGAATTCATTTCTCAAAGGCTATACAGAATAAATCTTTAACAGCATGGTTGTCCCACGTGAGGCAGTCACGAGTTCCTTGTTCACAGTTGTAGGCTTCTGCTACGATGAACACACATCTCATCCTTCAACTTAATCTTCAAATGTTTGGTTCATCAGTTTTAGGATTACATTCGTCTTTGTAGTACCAGGTTAATCTTTTCTGTTACGTAGCTGTGAGAATGGTATTGTAAAATGTACTCAAAGTACAACGGCAAGATACGAGTCATGTTCTTCAGAACTTGGGAGCCTAATTACTTCTTGCAATGGTTTTAATTTTGATTTCCTTTTTTTCCCTTTTCCCGAGAAGATCTTATGCAGCTATTTTGTACAGTTATTTATTCAATAAATTTCAGAAAATAGTGAAAATAATGTGATTATTTACAGGTTGGGAGTTGTTTGTTTGTTATTTTTTCGGTTAGACCTTTGGCTTTCTCGTTTTTTGTCACATGTCGTTCTGGTTTTAATTTCTTCGAAGGGAATCAAAGGCATCTACAGTTTGATGTCCGTAAGATGAATCTGATGTAAATGTGTTTCTAGACTCGGTCTGAGTTTGTTCTCCTTCTTTCGAGCGCCTTTCATACTACCCAACGATTCCGGTGACCTTCCGTGTAGATTCGCTGCAGGGTACAGCGGGGAGTTGGTAGCCCAGTTAATGAGATGCCCACCGTTTCATTGAGATTGCAATCGTGGGCAAATGTTCAGTGTATTTGTTCTTACATGATGAAGCATCTATGCGAATCAACTTCCGAGGCATCATTGTGCTACTAAAATTGGCTCCACTCCAAGCTCATGTTGCTTCGGAAAACATCAAAGTTTTCTTTCTCCTGCTGATCCATAATTCTCGCCAACCTCGGTATGGGAGTCATTCGAGCACTGTCTCATGGATGGGCGTCCAATGTCCCTAAACCCAGGTCACGAAATCTACTGACCAAAATCCTCCAAATCTCTGCTGATTCCATCCCCATATCTCAGTAATGAAACCTGTTGATTGTCAGTTTCTTCTACTGTGGTTGAGTTGCAAAGCAATTATTACAGAAGACTCTTGTGAAAGTGGACATTGATTATAAGTAGTCCAAGAAATATGCGCGATGCCCCAATGCTTGGGGATGTCCAGAACGTAAAACAGTGGAGGTTAGGTAATTGCACTATTGGCGGAACATTAACCACGTTTCTTAAATTCTTTCCACTGGATGAGTTTTCGAATTATCCACTTGGATATCGAGCGGTCGAGCACAGTTGATGATCGGCTTCTAAATAAAAACAGCACACTGGGCTAGTTGGTTTTGACCTGCATGGCTCACAAGCAACTCTTTTAAAGAAGATGGCGAATCTGAGAAAGCCCCGCGTTCGGTGGATTTAACGTAATCTGCAGATGTTGATCGTTCCACCCCAATCCCGATGCTCTCGCGGCTTCCAGCATAAATGAGTTTTGGTTTTCATCAACACTTCTGTCAGCCACTTTGTTGTGGTCACACATTTTGACATCTACTTAGGAGAGAACGGAGCAGGATGGGGAAGAAGATGGCGACGGCGTTGGTGGTGACAGTGATGGGGCTGCTACTCCTGGGGCTGTACCTCGCGGTGGACACCACCACCACCACGAGTGCCACCCCTGCATACACAAACTCAGGTACTGGTGGAGGGACCACGCTTGCGGCACTTGCCAAACTGGTGGCATCGCATTGCAGTCCGGCCAGAACTAGCTCACCTTCTGTAAGTGCAATTCACTGAAAGTGATTGCTAATTGGACGCAGAATTTTTACAATTGTTGATTTGTGGGGTCGATTCTAGGAGATTTCATGTAGTAGAGAAATTGGTTGATGTGCAGAGGGAGGAAATTGAGAGGGTGTTGGTGCAACCCCACAGACGTCTTCTGCAGATCAAGCGCAAACCTCCCAACAGCTATCCTCCCCCTCCCAAGAATCCCCGCCTCGTCTTGCCGCCACCCCCAGCGGCCTAGCGGATTAGCACATGAAACAAGTGGAATTATACGAGGCATTTGTAGAGTGTATCACTCTTGCCTGTTGGTATATGCATACATACATCTGATGTTGCGCGACGTGACTTGAATGTAGATGATGCCTTTCAGTTCGATCCTAAGTTCTATTGATCAGTAGAAGTGAGAAAGGTCATGGCTCAGCTGGGGCGTCTCAAATTATTCTAATAACTTCTAGTGACTGTTCTTCATTTTCAGGTGTGGACAGGTTTGAAAAATAGTTTGCTGCAATTCAGTGGGCGTTTCACAGTGATATCCAAATGTGTGTATGTGTAAATATACGTATTCTGTGGTGAAGGGCATGGCACAATAATGTGTGAAATGGGTTGGATAACATCGATTAAAGTTTTGCAACTAAGTGTTTGTCAATAGTGTTGGTGATCATTCTTTATCGTTCTTAGGGCTGTGGCGATTAGCTGGAAACTACCTGCGTGCATGAAACAGATGTCATGGTAAGGTATGAAACCTCAAACTCTTTCAGGGAGTCAGTCGTGTTTTCATGGAGAGCTTAGCGGAGTGAAATCCAATTTTTACAATCAGGCGCAAACAGCAAGTGCCAACATTGTTCTGTGGCTGCTAGGATGCTTGTGTGAGTTATAATCTTTTGAGTAAACGTTGTCAAAGAATTCATGAGAGAATGGAAGTACACCAACAAACGTTACTCTTCGGATTTTGGATTCAAGCTGTACTTATTCATTATGAGGTTACCTGAAGTTGTGTGATCTATGTTGCTCAAATGACCGAGAGTTTAATTCGATAATCACAAAAACTCTTCTTCACAACAAAGCGGTGGCGCGTAAGTAGAGCCTACTGATGTGAAGCAGTGCCCACTCAACTCCTTCTGCTACGTTGGTCCTCGCAACTCCTCTGGAATCCTCTCTAGTTATTGGCAACTCGATGTGAACTCCCCTCTCCTTTCAGGTTGTATGTGCCAACATTTCTCCGTGAGTGCCTCCAAGCTTGGATTCAAATCAGGTGGCAGCGTCAATGTGAGCCGCCCTGATGTGTTTTCTTGTATCACTATTTGATGGTCTTTGGAGAGATATGGTTCTTTTCCCGTGAAAATCGCGTAGCACGTCATGGCAAAACTGTACACATCGGATGCCTTCAGGTCGAAGTTTCCCTCCACTCCCTTAGGACTAGCCGGCAGTAGTAGAAAATCCGGCGCCTTGTAGAAGCCAGAGTCCACAGCACCCTTACGTCTTTCAGTTGAATCGATATGATGGGACACACCGAAGTCGGCAATCTTGACCTCTATGCGGCCGCCACGCTCCTCAGCCAACAAGTTGTCAGGTTTTAGACCACTGTGGGTCATGCCTATGGCGTGTATAAATTGCATACCCAGTGCGATTTGCAGCATAATATTCAATGAATCAGAGAGATCAAATGACACACATGCCTGTCCTCGTGCGTTCATACTCTTCTTTCTCATTCGAGTCTCAATGAGACGCCTCAAATCCTTGCTCATGAAGTCCATCACAATTGCGCACTTCCTCTTCGATGTTTGAATAAATCCCACAAGCTGACAGATGCGAGGATGCTGAAGCTGACACAACATATCCAATTCCTGCTGGAGTGCTAGAACTCCAGAGCCAATCTTGAATCTCTACACGGCAAATGTGCACCCCAAGTAAGTCGCCTTGTGTATCTTCACAGGGACCGGATTTTCTCCTCTTGGAGAAGCAATGCGCTCATCCTTTTCAAGGCTTTTGGGATCGATCCGCAGATACTCGGGTACATGAATGTCCATGGGGTTTGCGGAATCAGCATCACAGTTTTGGATGTTGATGTCACCCCACGTGGTTGATTTACAAGTACCATTGGATTCTTCATGTCCCTGCATAACACCCAGACGTGGGAGAGTAGCCACTGACGTCAGGGTTTTCAGAGTCGAACAGAGGAAAGTGAGAATGCTCACTCCGGAAGGTACCGTCGTGACTTCAGGCTGAGAGGATCTGATTCTCTTCAGTTCGGAACAAATGTCCTCAAACGTTGGTCGGTTCTCTGGGATGGAGTCCCAGCACTGTTTAATAAGATCCTTCAGGCGACAATTCAATTCGGAGGGTAACTCCGGCCTCGCTCCTGCTTCTATCGATTTCTGTAGCAATTCCTCCTGGTCCCGTTTTGATGAAATCATGTATGACCTTACCTACACAACATCACCTGCTAAACATAACGCGGCCCTTTGTGCAGAGCAAGTTAGATTTGGATTGATAGTTTATTAAGGTAGCTCAGAGTTCCACGCAGTAGTGCACTCTGTATGGGTTTAACATTTGAACACTCTTCCTCCAAAAGGGGAACTACTTCAATTCCTGGAACTAACCCAAACATGTTCCTACAAGCAAACAAACTTTGCCCTTGATATCGCAACTCCACATCTCCCACTTCTACGCACTGCCTGATGAAGTGATGCTGGATGTCGTAATGTTTTGTTCGTCCATGATGAGCCGAGTTCTTGGCGATTGCAATGCAAGACTGGTTGTCTTCATGAATTAAGATCGGACCAGGCTATTCTATGCGGTAGGTCTTCAACACCTTCCGAAGCCACAAAGCTTCTTTGGCTGCAATGGTAGAAGCGGCGTATTCAGCTTCTATCAATAAAAGCAAGATAGTTGTTTTCTTTTTACTGGACGACGTAACGACCGCACCTCCCATTGTGAATGCAAAACCGTCCACCAAACACCGTGTCACTTGGCATCCTCTCCAATCCAAGCCCGTGCATACTACTAGTCTTAAGTTTGCTTTCTTGCCACCGTACTTGAGCACTGGATGTTTCAACCCTTGCAAGTATTGAACAATTCATTTTACTCTTAGCCAATGTGAGCAGCATAGATAAGCCATGAATTGTGCAAAGTGTTGGCATGCAAAAGCTATGTTGAATCTTGTGCCATTTGCCAGGTACAGTATGGAGCCCATGGCTCTCTGATGGAGTTTTACTCCATCAAGTTCCAGTGGCTTGTTGTTCCGGTGCTTAGCCAAGTTCCCCTTTTCCATCAGGGTCTACATTGGTTTCACATTCTTCATTCTAAACTTCTTTAGTTTCTGGATAATATGTTTTGCGTGGCTCAGAGAAGTTGTACCAACTTCTTCATCCCATAAGAAGTTGATGCCCAGAAAATGATTCAGCTTTCTGAGATCCTTCATTTTGTACCAATCTTACAACTCCTTGCAAGTTACAAGTATCTTAAAGTTTTGTGCGAGTTATAAGTATCTTAAAGTTTTGCGAGTTACACGGATCTTAAAGTTTTCTCTGCACATTGCCAATCTACACAATGAGAGCTAACACCAAGTCACCAATCTGTATGGAGTACAAACAAGAATCAAAGTGAGAACATTTCCATATTAGATCCGTGAGAAAGGTATCCAATTTTTTGTTCTACCCTCTTTCAGCTTGTTACAAGCCATATAAGATTTTTAGCAGTTGCAACACCTTACTTTTATACTTAGGTAAGATGTCAAGTCTTCTAGGATGTGTATATAAATGTTTTCTTCTTTTAACTCCTTGTTCACATAAGCTGATACTACATCCAATTGCAATGGGTTCTATTTTAGTGTTGCAACTACTACTACAAAGATTTGGATGATTGCAAGATTAGTAATGCATATAAAGATTTTGTAGTTGTCGATGCCTTCTAATTGCAACTAATCCTTTGTTGTTAACCTTGTCTTATACTAATTTATCAAACCATAGTTTACAAGCTTCTTTTAAAATATTCACTTTGAATCAATAACTTTTTAATTTTCTAATAGAGTAGCAAACTTCTATATGCAATATTTATTTTTAACAAGTCTAGTTTTTTTTCCATTATATGTTGTCACTTTGGCTTAATACAAAGTACAAGGCTTATTAGACTATTTTTTGGATTGATCTTCAATTGTTAATTCATACCAACTATATTCACATTCTTGATTAGAAGATCAAAGAGTCTTCTAAGAAAATCTTAGTTGTTTTTTAATGGAGCTTGGTGTCTTTGGTTCCCTTTGACAATATTAATCTAGTTGATGTTGCTTATATTTTAATGTTGTAGCTACACTACCTAAGGCAATTCATATTTTGGCATGGTGTAAGCTCTCAATTATACTCCAAACTTTAAATTTTTGTTATTTCCTTATTTTATGATAATTGAGTATGTTAGATTAGGATTTATATGAATAGAATTTAGTTTTATAGAATTTTTAGGATTTTAACATTTGATGATATAAATCATAGCTTAATTCCTTGAGTTAGATTAATTTGGATTAAAGTGATAAGAGTTAAAAAATTAGAGTATCAAATTACTTAGTTCTAATAATTTAGAGGTTGTTAGTCATTACTATGAGAGTTGACTAAAGATCTATGAGTTAACCTACAATCATCTCATATAATTTAGGATGAATAAGAATTATAGTTTTTTAAAAGATTTGGTAAAGTTTAGCAATGACAATTTTAAAGATTTTCTCCAAATTCAACAAAATCAGGTAACAAAGTAGTTCTTTTAATTAATGAAAGCCTTTCAAATACAATAGTGGCATCAAATTCACCCCATGAAGTGAAGAAAACAAGATCAGCATCCTTTCCTTCAAAATATAAGTGGAGCAATGAAATTCTCATTTTTGAAGAATTTTACAAGAATTGCCAAAATCCTTATAAGTAAAAACCTTCATAAATATTGCAAATAAGCATATATTGATGCATATAAGTATACAATCTTAATATAAAAAGGTATTTTGAAGACAATGGTGAAGTTAGATTTATCAAAAAGTGCTTTTTTGACTACTTACAAGAGCCATCAATCTACATTAAAAATTTTAGAAATCAAGGGTGGACATGTGGCCGCCTTCCTATAAGCCACCACTTAATTGTATAAGAGTGGCTTGATTTTCCAAGCCCTCTCTCTCTCTCCTCTTTGATATAGGGCAAAGCCATATCAAATTTTGTAGTCTTTGTTAAAAAAACATTTCTTATGGCATAGATACTCGATTGAGTTGAAATTTACTGGAACAAAGGTGCCTTCAAGTTAAATTTGAAAAAAACTAAAAATCATTCAATTTAGAGCTAATGACGATTTTTGAAAATTTTTAGAGTACAAGGAGATTGCTACCTTCAATTCTTTGGCATTATCAAGGTACCTTTGTTTTTGTTTTTTTTAGTTCTATTTTTACTTTTATTTTTATAGTAACTTGTAACTTCTATATTTCAACTTTGAATTTTGAATTTTGAATTTTTAACCTTTATTCTTCTTTCTTATATTTTTAATTTTTACATTTAATTTAAATTTTAATATTTTATTTTTACTATAAATGAATAATAAGAATTT